AACTCCTCAGGGCTTAGGGGAAAATCTCTCAAGCTGTTTTTCCAAAGAACTAAGGCATGAGGCCACATAAAGGAACTCGTTTCACCACGAAAACAAAATCGAAACCCGTTGCGGTCAAGTCGATTCTGACTTATAGTGACCCCATGTGTTATAGAGAAGAACTGATCCATAGGGTTTTCTTGGTTGTGATCTTTATGGAAGCAGATTGCCAGGCCTTTCTTCTGCAGCACCACTAAGTGGATTTGAACCACCAATCTTTGGTTTAGTAGCTGATCACAAGGCACTTGTACCACCCAAGGACCTTAAGCAGTCACTCGACGGCAATGGGTTTGGTTTATGAGGAGCCCTGGTGGCGCAGTGGTTAAAGTGTTCAGCTGCTAAAAGGTAGGTGGTTTGAACCCATCAGCCACTCCATGGAAGAAACATATGGCAGTCTGCTTCAATAAAGATTTACAGCCCTTAGAAATCCTATGGGGCAGTTCTACTGTGTCCCACTGGGTCACTATGAGTTGGAATCGACTCAACGGCAGTGGGTTTGGTTTGATGTTTTTTAGACAGCTTTATAAAAATAGAAGTGAATACAAAGGATTAAAAATACAATGCTACTAGAGGTCTTTGCCTTCTTGCTATTGCTACGTAAGTACACTTACCCACGTGTTCTCGCGGGGAGAGAGAATAAGGCCATTTTTTTACTACAGCGCAAGTCTGATATGTTCATGCTTCACTAACCAGTAACCAGTTGACATCCAGTCACTTCTGACTCATGGTGACCCTGTGTGTGTCAGAGTAGGACTGTGCTCCAGAGGGTTTTCAACGGCTGATTTTTTGGAAGTAGATCGCCAGGCCTTTCTTCCGAGGTGCTCTGGGTGGACTCGAACTGCCAAACTTTGGGTCAGCAGCTGAGTGCGTTAATTGTTTGCAGCATTCAGGGACTCTAAACGGTGCACAATTAGCTGTGAGAAGATTTCAGCTGTTGCTTTAATGAGCTGTTGGGGTAAATCATCCCAAAACCTTAGTGGCTTGAAACAGCAACCATTGTATTCTCTCACGCAAGTCTGTGGATTGATTGCCTTCAGCTGGTGTTCCTTCTGTCCCACGAGATGTTGGCTGGGGCTGGGCTGTCTCGGGTTTGATTTTGCTGGAACATCTAAGATGGCTGCTTGACTCACGTGTCTGGCATTTTGGTACCCCCCCACCCCCTGGCCTTTGTCTCCATGTGGGGTCTCATCCTCCAGGGTGTCTCTGAGTGACCTCTCCCCCCAGCAAGGTAGTTGGACTTCTCATGTGGTAGCTGGCTTCCGAGAGTCCAGGAGTGGAAGATTCTATGCCTTCTTACACCCAGACATCACTGCCACCACATTCCGTTTTTTTAATATATTGTAATGAAAATACAACAAAACATTCACCAATTCAACAGTTCCTACATGTGCAATTCACTGACATGATCACACCCTTCATTTGCACAACCCCATCCTATCTTTTTCCTAATTACTCCACCCCCATGAATATAAAATCACTGCACCCCCCCCCAGTAACTCCCTCTTTCCCCCTCCTTCCCACCCCTGGTGATGGATAAAAAGCTTTGGTTTCTATGTATCTGCTTATTTCCTACAAGTGAGGCCATACAGTATTTGTCCCTCTATGGCGGACTTATTTCCCTCAGCATGATGTTTTCACGGCTCATCATGTTGGAGCCCGTATCAGGACTTCGTTTCTCTTTACGGCTGAGTAATACTTCATTGTATGTATGGACCACATGGTGTTTATCCATTCATCTATTGACGGACATTTCGGTTGTTTTCCCACCTTTTGGCTATTGTGAAAAGTGCTGCAATGAACATTGGTGTACTGTATTTTTACACAAATAATGCATAAAATATGCCCTTGCACTATTTTCATATGCCGTGCATTATATGTATGGGGCGTGTTATTAACGTTGGAGTGTTATTTGTGAAAAATACAGTTTAGGTGTCTGTTTGCATTCTCCATTCACTTCTTCTGGGTATGCACCTAGGATTGGGATTGCTGGGTCCTCTGGTGGCGCAGTGGTGAAGAGCTCGGCTGCTAACCAAAAGGGTGGCAGTTTGAATCCACCAGCTGCTCCTTGGAAGCCCTATGGGGTGGTTCTACTCTGTCCTGTAGGGTCACTGTGAGTCGGAATCAGCTTGAGTGCAATGGGTTTGGTTGTTTTTGTATGGTAGTTTCGGGTTCAACCCTTTGAGTTACCACCCCACTGTTTTCCACGGTGGCTGTACCATTTTTCATTCCCAACAGCAATGGACGAGGGTTCTCATTTCTCTACATCCTCTCCGAAATCTAATGGCTGATGATGTTGAGCATCTTCTCGTGTGCTCATTGGCTGTTTGAATAGCCTCTGATTTTCCTCCATTCTTGATTATTCAGTATGAAAACACTCTAAGAAACTTCTATATATGCACTTATTAGAACCTTTTATTACGGACTGAATTGTGTCCCTCAAAAAGACAAGATGAAGTCCTAACGCCTGTACCTGTGAATGTGACCCTGTTTGAAAATAGGGTTTTTGAAGGTTAACATGAGGTCACATTGGAATAGGGCAGGTCCTAATTGAGGAGCCTTGGTGGTGCAGTGGTTAAGCACTTGGCTGCTAACAAAAAGGTTGGCGGTTCGAACCCACTAGCCGCTCTGTGGGAGAAAGATGAGACAGTCTGCTTCCGTAAAGATTTACAGCCTTGGAAACCATACAGGGCAGTTCTATTCTGTCCTATAGGGTTGCTATGACTTGGAATGGACTTGACAGCAGTGGGTTGGGTCCTAGTCCTATATGACTCCTGTTGTTATAAAAGAGGAGACTGGAAATGGAGAGATAGACGCGAGGGAAGACGCCATGTAAAGATCATATACAAACCAAGGACTGTCAGCAGACACCTGGGCTATAAGACGCTGGAAGAGACAAGGAGGGCTCTTCCCCTAGAGCTGACAGAGAGAGCAGGGCTCTGCTGGTGGCTGCATTTGGACTCCTAGCCTCCAGAACTGTGAGACAGTAAAGTTCTGTTCTTTAAACTGCCCACTCTGCAGTAGTTTGTTCTGGCAGCGCTAGGAGATGAACACACCTCTAAAAAGCAAATTTTTAGCTTTTTATTTCACAAAGATTTGCCACAATGACCAAACACTGTAGCTGAGACTATCTTTATAAAAATCGACAATTCAAATTCACTCAGTTAAAAAAGGTATTTGGCAACCGAGTCTATAATAAAACAACATAAAAAGGTTAGATTTTGGAAGTTACAAACATGCATATACAATATGCAAAGCATGTGTTCTGTGTGGCTCTGCCTGTCCCGTCTGCCATATTGCATTTTACTGAGTTACTTTCACTAGCAGGGCAGAGAAAGATGTGGGTCCTGGGCTCATTCAGCACTTGGTGCCCTTCAGATGCATCAGCCTGGGAAACGGCCGCGTGCGGTATTGGTGCCAGAACTTCTGGAGGCTGAGGCTGCTGTACGTGCTCGCCACAGAGGCATTAATCAGACGGTCTGCTGTGAGTGAGAACGTTTGCTGACTCGTGATTTCTACCCTGTCGTTCCGTTGGCTTTACCGGCAGTGGGACCACCAACTCATGTTGTTCTCAGTTGCTGTTGCGTCGGCTCTGACTCATGGTTGCCCCACGTACAACAGAGTGAAACATGGCCCGATCCGGCACCAGCCTTGCAACATTGGTACGCTTGACTTCGTTGCTGTGGCACTGTGTTGTTTTGAGTAACTTCCAACCTGGGGGCTCATCTTCTAGCACTATATTGGGAAATATTCTGTGATCCATAGGGTTTTCATTGGCCAGTTTTTGGAAGTGGATTGGCAGGCCTTTCTTCCCAGTCTGTCTTAGCCTGGAAGCTCCACGGAAACCTGTCTACCATGGGTGAGCCTGCCGGTATTTGAAATGCCAGTGGCAAAGCCTCCAGCATCACAGCAACATGCAGCCACCACAGGACAGCAGACGGACAGACGGGTGGTGGTCAAACACACTTCCCCGCTCACGTTAAGGGGGCTCAACTCAGATGTTGGAAGTCTGTGTTAACTGACCACACATTGCTGATTTATTTCGGGGATGTCTGAGTGGCCTTTTATGAAACTACGTGTTTTTACAGGCTGTGCGCTTCTCCTTCCAGCTCTGTTTACGACGGAGCTGCTCTCCAACAGGGTGGTGAGTGACAGCCGTCCTCCTCCCCGTTCCCTCCAGAAATAGTTCCCGCCTCCCCCAAGGTGGTCGGCTGTGAACCTGCTCGGTTGTTCACTCAGCAATCAGACTGGACCCACCTGACTGAAGTGTGAATTTCCCAACATACTTAAACCTCAAACATGTGTGGCTTTAAAATATGCAAACGTTCTTGGGGGATGACAGGACGAGGCTTCTCATAAAAGGGGAAAAGAAGGAACATTTGAATTTTTGTGGAAAAATGCCCACTGTTAATCTTGACCAAGATTAACGCCATTGGCTAGATTTCGGCAAGTAAATAGACCGGGTTATGCAGGCGTTTGTGGGAAGTTAGCCACCATTTGTTGTAAGGGTCCAGAGAAAATGCTGCTCGAGGTTTAAACGGAAGACATACAGATTTTCTGAACATAACCAGCCTCTGTAGTACCTCCCATGGACATCTTGTCTAACTAAAAAGAAAACTCCTCGAATGAACAAGCGAACGCAGCTTTTTCAGGCAGGGCTGCGGTGAATGGGGTTTGTCACAGCATCGTCTATCTGCAAAAAGGGTGCACTCAGAGTCCCGATTCCAGTTCTATCCGTTTCCCCCTTTTGTAAGCGACATGCTGCAGCGTGGCAAACTCCAGCTCCAACGAGAGCGGAGAACTGGGATTTTCTAAACTCAGCCCAATGAAGGAATGTGTCCTTAAGCTGTTGTCGTTGTGAACGGTCGAGTCAATTCCGACTCACAGCGACCCTAGAGACAGCAAAATCCAGAGGGTTCCCAGACTGAGCCCTAGAAATAAAGGCACACACAGATAACTTTTCCGTAAAGAGCAGACTGTGCCGATTTATTACAGAACGCAGTTAAAAAAAATATGTTGAGGCTAGCCTCTCCAGTTTAAAAGCGTTTAACTGGAAACACTTGAACAGCCACGCAAGGTCTCTCCCTCACCTGCCCCCAGCACTGTAACGAGGTTGGAGACATCCAATCCATCCTTGATAGGAACCACCAAGGGAGTTAATGCAAACCCACTTGCTTCTTAAAAGAAAACCACCTTCCAAATTTCCAAAGCATGCATTGTTACTTGGCATTAGGTATTTCAAAATGACACACTCTGTTATGGTATTTTTAAGGCCCAAATATAATACCTATGTACCAGACAGACACCTTACAACTAAAAAAAAATACAAATGTTAACCTAGTGTAAGAATTCCATCAGGAATTAATGGGGAAAGGCACTGCATCCTCTCACATCACCACACGGCTACTACCCACCTGACAGGCTCTGGATTCAAGTCCTGTTAAAACGTTTTAACAGCATTTTCCACAACATACAGCTCACAGGAAGGTTAACACGTCTCCAGTATTCTTCCACCACCATGTTTTCACCCACGTACACAACGGTTGTGAATATATGCTATTAGCTTTATTTACAAGTTTATTTTGATGTTTCAGTGGGGTAAAAATCACCTACCTCAACCAACAGTTCCCAAAGAGTATTTGGTTATGATTCATGGGGATTAACAACCACGGAAAAGAGACAAATGAAACCAATGTCTCACCCCAAAACACCTAAACTAAAATTTCTCACCCACGAAAAGTTGGCAGTGAAGCTGCTAGTCTCTGAATTGTGTAAGCTAAACTCTACACAGACATTCCAGACCAACTTCTTTTGCAAAGCGCAGGTTACATGTTGCCCCAGGGAGGGTGCCGAGCGAATGCGTCCCGGCCAAAAACACGCACGCTGTTGAACATGAGAGGTGCAGATCGGCAAGGGTGACAGTTTTCAAAATCTTCCCTGGCTTTCCAGAAGACGTAAAACACAACGGTGTAATTTGACATAGGAACAAAGGTTAGTTTGAAAATCAGTAATCTACATGCACACACATTAGAACAGGAGGGCACAAATAAAACACTCCCATTTCCGCATGGCATTGTTGTTTGAACGAGCTCCCTGCACCGACAGACCAGCCGAGGCTCCACCCTGCAGGCCAGCTAGAGACACAGAGCTCTCCCGGCCGCCTGCCAACCTGCCCCAGGCACAAACGTGACAACCTACCAGGAAAGAACAAGCACAAAATACTCATTATCAGTTTTCTCAAGACGTCCCCACACGTCCTTGTGCGATCACCGCAAACTCAGTGATTGGCCCAAGACATTGGGGTGCCGTGAACATGGACGGATGTGCAGCGCTGGAGCCGGGAGACGAAGCCTTGATTCTCTTCCGAGCAACATGGACTGGAGTTTCTGCCACGACGGTCACGGCTGCCACTTCCCAAGCTGTGACCGGCCATTTGCACAGTCAAAGGTTCCTCCCAGGAGGGCGGTGTGGAATCCATCTTCACCCAGGGCCGGTTCAGCGTAAGTGGACAGGCGTGTACTCCGGCCTCCTGGTCTGGACGATCTGGGGCTTGGGCCTCTTCCTTCTCTCCACCTCCTCGTCGTCTTTGTCCTCCTGGTCACTCTCACACACGTGGACCACCACGCTGGGGGTAGTGTCGGTGGCTGCGTGCAGCTCGTACTTCTCCCCTAGGGAAAGAAAATGATCACAGGGTGACTCAGACAAGCCCTGGAGAGCCGAGGGCGAGAGAACGGAAAAGCATCAGGGGCCTGCCTGGCCCAGCTTCTGCGCACATTCAGTGGGGACCGAGAGACACAGGCAGCCACCTTCTGTAGTTCTTCAGGGGCTCACTCAGAAGACACGTATCACCACTGTCTGAGTCTCCTGACAGGCAAACCCTGCCCCGTCCAGGCACACGGGAGGTGAGGAGAAGTGCTTTTTGAATTACGGTCCCTGGGGAGTTCAAATGGTTAGCACATGAGGCTCCTAACCGAAGGGTTGGCAGTTTAAGTCCACCCAGAGGGATCTTGGAAGAAAGGCCTGGAGATCCACTTCTGAAAATCCAGCCACTGAAAACCCTATGGAACGTAGTTCTACTCTGAGGCACGTGGGGTTGCCATGAGTCAGAGGCAACTCAACGGCAAATGGTTTTTAACACGTCCTTTAACATGCCCACCGGGAATCCCGAACTACCTGAAGGTCAGTAGTGCCCCAAGCGTGGTGTGAGGGAGGAGCACTGGCCCAGGGCAAGGCTGCAGCTGGACAAGCGCAGGCGGAATCAGGACCTGCAGAGGCTCCGCCGTGAGGTCCCGCTGAGATGCACAGGGCACACCACAGCACCGGGCACCCTAGGGTCCCGCAGCAGACACGGGCCTGCACGTGGCCACACGCCCCGAAAGCATTTCTGACTGCAGCATCCTTTTTCACGTAACAGCTGCTAACCCCCCGGGACGAGCAGGGCTCTGCTTCTCTGTTTCAGCCTGAGCTTTGCCAGGTTCCGTAAGGGTTAGGCCGTCTGGTCCAGCAACGGCAGACTCAACTCTTCCTACCTGGCATCACTTTCTGGCACCAGGCTGGCTATGGGGAGAGCCTGTGTCTTTGTGGGCTGAGGCGAGGCCGTGTAGCAGCATGGTCAAGAGCTTGGGCTCCGGCTAGGCAGGCTGGCCACTCGGTACTGGGCACCTGTGGGTGGGTTGCTTCACCTTCCTGTGCACCTCAGTTTTCTCCTCTGTATAATAGGCTGATGATGGTATCTGCCTCATGGAGCTAATTAAATGCGTGAACAGGGCAAAGCACTTGGCACACGCTCACAGTATATGTGTGAACTCGCTCCATCGTATTGTGTTTTAAGAGACAGCTGGAGTCCTTGCTCTCGTGTGGAATGCTGGGGGTAGCAGGGATGCTAGGGGGTTTAAACAGGGGAGGAGGGTTGCTTCAGCTTGTCTATCTATCTTCAGAGTGGCCGGGAGGGGCCCCTGCCTGCTGTGTGCCCTTCACCCGGAAGGAGCAGCCGGGCAGGACTCCTCCTCAGGCTACATCTGACACCCCTCTAACCGTGGAAGGCACTTTGGGGTGCAAACGGTTAACGTGCTTGGCTGTGTTATGTTGGAGGCTCGAGTCTACCTAGGGGGGCTGCGGAAAAAACGCCTGGTGATCTACTTCCGACAAGCCGGCCACTGCAAACACCATGGAGCGCAGTTCTACTCCGACACGCACAGGGCCGCTGGGAGTCCCCTCAAGGGCAACTGTTGTTTTACTCATAAAATGGCCTTCTGTCTCCCACATGCGAGGCTGGACTTTTATTGTACTTGAATTTGAAAAAATGAAAGAGCCTCAGCTCTCTTGCTCAGAGAGAGAATTAAAGTACGGAGGGTCTGGCAGAGCACTCTCCAAACACAGAATTCACCGTCTGGTTGAGAACCTCTCTACAAATCTTCACCTATCCAGCAGTCAGTCAAAACCCAGAGTTTAGGACCACGTTTGCAAAATCTCTGCAGTCCTCATGGCTGAAAAGCACAGCCAAAATGTGAACTATTACTCATGCGCATCACTGAGTAAACCCAGGGCAAAATGACTGCATGACAGTTGTCTCCTAGAGAGGCTTCTCAGATGAGCGCTCTGTAAAGAAGCGGTAGGTTCAGGGCTCCCGGCAGCGGGAAGAACTTCCATCAGCAGCACTTTTTGCTTATTCAACAGTCTGCACCTCAGGTGGAAGTCTCCTTTCCTCTGAAGCCTCCCCTTTGCTCCAGCCCCTCGGCCAGGGGCTGTGGCAGGGGTGGAGGGTGACACACTCCCCTCAAACTGGCCAGTAAAGACCTTGGCCTTCAGGCAACAATTAGTGTAAGTCGTGAGATCCGACTTCATGTGGCGGATGGAGTTTCCATCAGGACAATGTTTTCAGAAATGTAATCTTTTCAGTGTGAAACTGCTGATAGCCCCAGAAATTAAAACCCTCAACCCCAAAGAACATCAGATGGCTGGTCAAGGAGAAAGGAGGAGCTGATGGTCCCAGCATTTACCTGGTTTGCTCCAGGGAGGGCAGGAGGAAGGGCTCAGACCTCTTCATCCCAAGACCCCCCAGCCCTCGCCCCTGCCTCCTCATCGATGCCCTGTCACTCAGGACAGGGACCACCAACATCTCACTGGTTTTTAAAAACACGAATTGAGCGCTGACTACAGACTAGGTACTGCCCTCAATGCGTTCAGGTGATTTTCTCATCTACCACCCACAGTCCCACGGAATAATACCCACTTCACAGATGGGGGGACCCCGGTGACGCAGTGGTTAAGAGCTCGGCTGCCAACCAACCAAAAGGTGGGCAGTTTGAATCCACCAGCCGCTCCTTGGGAACCCTACGGGGCAGTTCTGCTCTGTCCTATAGGATCTCTCCGAGTTGGAATCAACTTGACAGCAGTGGGTTTGGTTTTTTGGTTTAGAGATGAGGAGCCCGAGGCCAGAATAACTGATCTCCCTGGACGCTCACATCCTCGCCGGTAGAGGGTCATCTCCGCCCCTTCCGCGGCCCTGAACCTCTACTTTGTCTGCCAAGGCCAGTGAGGCCGCGCCCCCTATGGGGCGATGACGGTGGGGCATGTGTGACGGGGGCTCTTTCTCACCACAGTCTACGATCCTCCTTCCCTCCCAGGTTAGAGAAGGCAGGTGAGGGCCAGGTTACTGGATTGAATCATCTTGACTATTTGAATTTCTAAAAGGGGGGGTCTGTTTTTCCTTTCCAAAGTCAAATCGCATCCCCGCCTGGAGTGACAGGATCTCAGGCTGGGAATAAGCCATCATGCAGGCTGTGCTCAGGAGGGTGCTCAGGAGGGGAGGGGCTGGATTCCCGTGATCCCGCCAGCAGGGGTCCCAGGGCTCAGTCCCTGTGACCAGCTACAGCCTCCCTCGTACACCTTCCTGAAGGAACGAGGTGAGAGGAGGCGCACACAACCCCAGCATTAGTCACGGTGATACCAAAACCAAGCCCGTTGCCGCTGAGTCGATTCTGACTCATGGCGACCTCATGTGTGCAGAGTAGAAGTGCCTTCCATAGGGTTTCCAATAGCTGTGATCCTTTGGAAGTAGACTGCCAGGACTTTGTTCTGAGGCACCTCTGGCTGGGTTTGAACTGCCAACATTTTGGTTAGTAGTCAAGCTACCGAGGGACTCCTTACAATGATACCAAAAAACCAAACCCATCGCTGTTGAGTTGACTTTGACTCCTGGCGATCCCAAGTGTTAGAACTGTTCCATAGGGTTTTCTTGGCTATAATTTTTATGGAAGCAGATTGCTAGGCACTGCTGGGTGGGTTTGAACCACCAACCTTAAGGCTAGTAGTTGAGTGCAAACCGTTTGAGCCACCCAGAATACCTGCCACAGTGACACAGAAGGGTATAAACAGAGAAAATTCACAACACGTGCTGTGTAGACCCCACGGGTGAGGACAAGAGCAGTGGGGACACTCCGCTCCCCGAGGCAGAGAGCGCACCTGCTGTGTAGACCCCATGGGTGAGGACAAGAGCAGTGGGGACACTCCGCTCCCCAACCAGAGAGCACACCTGCTGTGTAGACCCCACAGGTGAGGACAAGAGCAGTGGGGACACTCGGCTCCCCGAGGCAGAGAGCGCACCTGCTGTGTAGACCCCACGGGTGAGGACAAGAGCAGTGGGGACACTCCACTCCCCGAGGCAGAGAGCGCACCTGCTGTGTAGACCCCATGGGTGAGGACGAGAGTAGTGGGGACACTCGGCTCCCCGAGGCAGAGAGCACACCTGCTGTGTAGACCCCATGGGTGAGGACAAGAGCAGTGGCGACACTCTGCTCCCCGAGGCAGAGAGCGCACCTGCTGTGTAGACCCCATGGGTGAGGACGAGAGTAGTGGGGACACTCGGCTCCCCGAGGCAGAGAGCACACCTGCTGTGTAGACCCCATGGGTGAGGACAAGAGCAGTGGCGACACTCTGCTCCCCGAGGCAGAGAGCGCACCTGCTGTGTAGACCCCATGGGTGAGGACAAGAGCAGTGGCGACACTCCGCTCCCCGAGGCAGAGAGCGCACCTGCTGTGTAGACCCCACGGGTGAGGACAAGAGTAGTGGGGACACTCCGCTCCCCGAGGCAGAGAGCACACCTGTGTCAGGGCCACCTGCCCGCCCTGCCCGAAGGCGGCGCTTACCTGGCCCCAGCCTGGAGACAGCGTATAAGAGATCGTAATTAATGACGGGGGTTGCATCTTCCACTTGTTTCCAACCCACGGGTGGAGAGGCAGGAGGAGAGATCAGAAACTGCTTGTCGGGATTTGGCGGAGCCAGGTGTGAACTTCCTATGTGTAAAGTCTGAGGAGATAAAGAAAGACATGCCTGTGTTTAGCGAGGGACGGCCTGAGCAACGCAGCGGCGCTTAAAACAGCTCAGGAATGACGACAACGGGTATGAAGGGTGTGAAGAGGGCTGTGATCTCACGGAGGAACCCTAAATGGCCGAGGGGGAAGGGAAAAGGGGCTTGAACTCTGGTTATGGTACAAGTAAAACTGGAGCCACTGCTAGGGATGCGGGACCCACAGGGGCTGACAGAAAATTACAGAGAGGATTTTCGCACAAGTGGAAAAAATAAAGCCACTGACTTCAAGGTTAGAAAACCCACTGCCGTCGAGTCAATCCCAACTCCTAGTGACCCTACAGACAGAGTAGAACTGCCCCATAGGGTTTCCAAGGAACAGACGGTGGATTCCAACTGCCAACCTTTTGGTTAGTAGCCAAGCTCTTACCCACTGTGCCACCAGGGCTCCTTGAGCCTCGTTACGCCTTACTAATTATCCCTACGATTAGAAGGCTATCTGGGAACAACTTACTCAAAAGCTTACCAGTTTTGTTTTCTTTATACTTCAACACTTCCCCCCAGATTGTCACAATGAACATGTGTTCCTTTTATGATCAGAAAAAAGTCAGGAAAGTACTAAGCAGTTATTCACAGAAAACCAAAAACCCACTGCCACTGAGTCGATTCCGACTCATAGTGACCCTATAGGACAGAGTAGAACTGCCCCACAGGGTTTCCAAGGAGCACCTGATGGATTCGAGCTGCCGACCTTTGGTTAGCAGCCCGAGGTTTAACCACTGCACACCAGGGTTTGTGTTGTTCATTGAAGGCCTCATCAAGTGCAGGAAAGCCTGTGCTCACAGGGGAAGCTGCACGCCGCCCTTGGCCCCACAGACCACCAGGGGGCAGTGCATCCCAGCCCGCTTTCATTTACCGGGAACCTGCTGGGCAGGCTGGCCCTCAGATCATTCTATCAGGAAAGGCGTTTTGCTCTCTGGCCCGGAGTCAGGACAGCTTTCCTCCCATTGGCAGGAAGCCTCTCGGGAGACCCGCTCCCACCCTGGCGCGGGGCTCAGAGCCTGCCTGGGGCTCACTCACACAGCAGAGTAGCATCCTAGAAGCTCCTTCCCCACTCCCTGCATCCCCTCTTCCTTCTTCATGTGGAATTTTGTGGGCTGCCTGGAAGGTAGGTCACTGGCCAATTCTGCCTCATAGCAACCATATAGGACAGAGCAGAACTGCCCCACAGGGTTTCCCAGGAGCAGATGGTGGATTCCAACTGCCGATCTTCTGGTTAGCAGCTGAGTTCTTAACCACTGTGCCACCAGGGCTCTGGAGGCTTGTAAGCAGGAGGAAAAAGCAAACCCGGGGCTGGGCCCTGCTGACAGGACGGCTCCTTGGAGCTGCCTACCAGTCCAGGCCACCCATTTTCTGCATCTTCTTTGGGGCCAGGGCGGGCAGCCCTACGCTGGTGTGCATGCTGGGGTGCATGGTGTTTGCAGACTGCTGCTTCCCTGAGGGCTGAGAGGACACCTGCTTTCTCCACCAGGGGGAGGGAGAGAGCACACTGCTGTCTGCAGAAAACCGTATGGAGCTGGGACCTCCACCTTTGCTCCGGCTGGAACCCTCCAGCAAGTTCCGTGTGAAGACCAGCGGCGCACATGTGTGAGGGCACCAGCGCAGCGACACTCACAACCCCCCGCCTTACCACCTCACTTTACAGCCCTCCTCCCCTCGCCTGGCACTGGCCATTCTGAGGATGACCAGGGGCCACTGGGAGGCTGCTTTCAGACACACCTCGATGTTTTCTTAAGATAGATGAGACGCTGGTAACTTCGGGTATAAACTTCGCCCTTCTCAAGATGAATTCTTGGGGTTAAAAAGAAATCACTGTATAATCTAAGTACCAGCTGCTTCAGAAAACCCGGTGGGAGGGAGAAGCAACCACAGCACTAAACTCGACTCACCTGAGCAAAGTATAATTTCATTTCCTTTCCCAGAAACTCAGTCTTATGCAGCTGGAGTCTGGCGTCTGCCGCAGATAAAGGGTTGCTGAAGTTTATCCTGACTCGTTTGAAGCTCTTAAAATACTGAAAGGTGATGTCCTTGTCGTATGTCCTAAACAGCGATTCAAACTTGGCCTGAAAAATTATAATAAAAACAGAAGAATTTAAAATGTACCCAAATATGATCCCTGACCAGGCATCCGCGTTACATTTCTTATTGAGGAAGTGAATTATCAACCATTTCTAGAACGCGGAACTTCTTTCCTGGAGAAGATACAGAGAATCAGCCTTTCTCCTGAGGATACGCCGCACCTTCTGCCCTTCTACCCCCAACAGAGGCGGTTGTATGGGGCCCGTGGGTGGCGCAAATGGTTCAGTGCTCAGAAACCCACCCAGAGGTGCCTTGGAAGAAAGGCCTGGCGATCGGACAGGTCATAGCCAGAAAACCCTTTGGAGCAGTTCTACTCTGCAGCACATGGGGACACCATGAGTCGGACCTGACAACTGATTACTGGTTCGCAGGCGGCTGTGTAAGAAAGAGGAGCCCTGGTGGCACAGTGGTTAAAGTTCTCGACTGCCAACCCAAAGGTCTGCAGTTCGAACTCACCAGCTGCTCTGTGGGAGAAAGATGTGGCAGTCTGCTTCCGTAAAGATTTACAGCCTTGGAAACCCTATGGGGCAGTTCTACTCTGTCCTGCAGGGTTGCTATGAGTCGGAATCGACTCGATGGCAGTGAGTATATGAAGGTAAGATTGTATGGTTTATGAAATTGCATTTCATAAGCCGAACAATGATCGTACTTAAACACTTTTTATGGTAAAATTCTTTTTAAAGTAGAGTGAGCATTTTCCAAGGAGGAACAGCTTGGTAACTTGGTCCCCTCTCCCGCCCGCCAGCTTCTCTGTCCAATGACCTTCTCTATCTGGTTATAACCCAAGCCCCTCCCACCCCAGCTCAGAGTGCTCAGCGAACACCTTCCTGTTAATGGGCACAGGCCCCCTTTTCAGCCCAATTAGGAAAGTCACAAGCTCTGGCCTCAGCTTCCTTGCATAAAGCAAGGCCCCAGCAGCTCCAGAAAGACTGCAATCACCAGCTGTCAGCCCAAGTGAAGACAGAAATACTTCTTTAGGGATTAAAAGCAGTGAAGCTAATTTGAGAAAACCATTTTTATTGAGCAGGAAAATGACGACGCTAATAAAAAGCTTTGTTTCTTAATGTAAAGAGACCGGTTTAAAAAAACCTGCTCCTGCGTTTATCTCAGCCTGTTATTTTTTGACACTAAAATAATCCTGGTTTAAAAACCAACATACTGCAAACGGACCATTTCTGCATGCTGGCTTTAACGCCTGCGCACATCTGGCTCCAGTGTTATAGGCATTAGTGGGAATTAGGAAACCTCATGAGCTCTTCGAATGAAAAGCCAAAGTTCAAAGATAACAAGCTCAGATTCAGACAACACAACTCATCAGCTTCCTCCCTTTTCTGAGAAGCTCTGCAGAGGCCCCTGGGCTGGGTCCCAGGTGAGGTGGGGTGGGGCCGAGCAGGGTGGGGTGGAGGTGGGAGAGCTGGGCAGGCCATCATGATTCCTCAGGATTCCAGAAGAGAGCTGGACAGGCGAGGCTTCTGGGGATTGCAAGGCTTTTAGTCCCCATGGTTCTGGGTCTTTTTTTCAGACTACACACTCAGGGCCTGTGCTGGGAGCTGGCTGAAAGGCAGAGGGGGCGGCTGAGAGTCGGGATCTGGGCAGTGGGGGCCCACAACTGCATAAGCAATGCAGAAGGGGAAACAGGGCCCCCTAGGAGCCCGGAACACCTGCAGAAAACACAGTGTAAGTGCCCAGCGGAGAGAGGATATTAAATAGGACAGGAGTACAGGTTCTGGAATGTTCACAGCTCCACAGCGCAGGGCAGGAAGTGGGGGAGGAGTGTGCAGGGGAGGAAAAGGGCAAAGGTGCACCTGCCCAGGTAGGGCTGCCCACAGGAGAGGCTGCCAGGTCCCTATCCGACCGCAGAGTGGCTGCTGGCTCCTTGAGGGAGAAGGGAACAACTCACAAACTTGCTGTTCTTGCATCTCCCTGGCTTTCTTTAAAAAACAAACAAAACCTGTTGCCATCCAGTGGATTCTGACCCCTAGCGACCCTACAGGACAGAGTAGAACTGCCCCAGAGAGTTTCCAAGGAGCGGCTGGTGGATTCCAACTGCCAACCTTTTGGTTAGCAGCCGAGCTCTTAACCAAGGTGCCACCGGGCTTGTCTTTAGTTGATGAAACTTTCTGTGACCTTTCTGGGAGGGTTTTTGCAAAGGCACGTGTAAACAAAGGCAGAGTAGATGCTCAGTCTCTCGTCTGGCAGCCTCATACTTTAACCCACCCCTCTCGAGCACCGGCAAGTGTCTGGCGAAGGGTGTGCCTCCTAAATATGGAATTTCGCATGACCTCATCAATAAGCTCTGGGACCAAGTGCTTAGTTTTGGAGCTATGATTCAGAGTTTAGGCAAGATGACTTTGATGAATGTTTTCAGAACACAAGCCGGGGCTCAGGCCCGGGACATGAGAGAAATTAACATTATCTGTTCAATCCATACTACTATTATACTACTCTCTTATAAAATCATCATAATTCTTCAAATAACTGACATCTAGTTACTAGAGTTGTTGTATGGCATCTCTGCTTAGTTAAATAGCTGTTTTCCTTACCTTGAGCCTAACACTGAACACTTCCATCCTGCAGCACGCTTACACAGAACCCCGTGGGAGCGTCCTATGTTTAGCGCTTTGACACACAGACTGCTCTACAACCTCCTTCAAAAACTGTGGTCCTGGGCTGAAAGCACTGTGTACAGTCACGGCGTTAAATTTTATACGGATGGATAGAGGCCCCGAATCCACCGCTGTGGAGTCAATTCTGACTCAGAGAGACCCCGCAGGGTTTCGTAGGCTGTAAATCTTTACGGAAGCAGACTGCCTCATCTTTCTCTGGAGGAGCCAGTGGTGGTTTTGAGCAGCTGACATTCTGGTCAGCAGTCGGTCGCTGTACCTGCTGTGCCACCAGAGAGATATATACAAAGAGACATATTCACGTGTCCCCCTATGGCTTTGGGTATAAAGCATGTAACACAAACACCACCCCCCAAACAGAGCATACAGAATTAATCATATTTGATATCATTAAAGATCAGTTATATAGCTGGGTAGTTATTTGATGAAAAATCTTACATTTTAATCAAATCAGGGAGAAAAGAGGCACCCTAACCCCAGGAGGCACCCTTAGCCCAGGAGGCACCTTCAGCCCAGGAGGTACCCTCAGTCCTGGAGGCACCTTCAGCCCAGGAGGCACCCTCAGCCCAGGAGGCACCCTTACCCCAGGAGGCACCCTCAGCCCTGGAGGTACCCTGAGCCCAGGAGGCACCCTTAGCCCTGGAGGCACCCTCAGCCCTGGAGGTACCCTGAGCACAGGAGGCACCCTTAGCCCTGGAGGCACCCTTACCCCAGGAGGCACCCTTACCCCAGGAGGCACCCTGAGCACAGGAGGCACCCTTACCCCAGGAGGCACCCTCAGCCCTGGAGACACACTTAGCCCTGGAGGCACCCCTACTCCAGGAGGCACCCTCAGCCCTGGAGGCACCCTTACCCCAGGAGGCACCCTCAGCCCAGGAGGCACCCTTACCCCTGGAGGCACCCTCAGCCCAGGAGGCTCCCTCAGCCCAGGAGGCTCCCTCAGCCCAGGAGGCACCCTCAGCCCAGCTGCCGTGGATACACTTTCTCTGCTGGAGAAACTGGTAGCCTGGAGGATAGACCCTGGTAATAACGGGCAAAGCCTACAAAGATCTTCACAATATCCATTTCCTAAGGTGAAATCAAGTTACTCTGAGTTCTGCCTGTAAAACAGAAGCATCCTAGTCACCATCTGAAATTTACTTCTAACATAAAACCAAAAACCAAGCCCACTGCCATCACATCGATTCCGACTCAAAAACACCCGAACTCTGCCTTATCATTTGGTCAAGGACCTGAATATTTTCAAATACAGAGATCTTTAGAAATTCCTTCACTGTATACCTTTTGCTTTTCCAAGTTAAAAGTACTTTGAATTTACTTCAAAACTCCAAAATCCACCAGAGAGCCACATACCCCCAAATACTTCATTAATAGTACCAATTAACGCAATGTTGTGAGACGTCCCTTACCCTGGTTTCACTTTCGCTGAAGACATCGCTGTTGGCCACACAGGCAATGAGGGAGCTAAAGCTGTAGTTAAAGGTTCTAAAGTGCATCCTGCTTTCCTACTGGGACCCAGGAGTCAAGTCCTGAGTGACGTCCCTTTACAGGAGCTGCAGGTTCCCGCTGGAGCCCGTGCTTATAAAGCACCAAGGGCCGGCCCCTTGGGGGAAAAAGCACCACTTCCAGGGCATCCTGTTTGGACAGCAAATTCCTGAGTCAAGTCCTGCATGCTCGCAGGCGGACAGGGACAAAGTGTGAGTCTCTACTGGAAAGAGGTGACGTCAGCACCTTAGTCATTTTCCCTATGCTAATTACCTCTGCTTTGGGAGGATGGAAAAAGCTGCCAAGATTTGCTCAGCAGCTGCTTTATCAACCCCTCCTGCAGCATAGTTTCCACTGGTAGTAATTCCATTCAGCGCTCAGGCGGCACGCTCCCGGTTGGACGGCGCCCTCCTTAAGACGGAAAATCTTACAGGAGAACAGGGAGCAAGTCCACAGCACTGAACAGCAATTAGCCCTCCCGGGAAATCTCAAGGCTTTGGGAAACCTGGAGACCGAGGTCTGGGTGACCTGTTTCACCCTTGCGATCTCCTGAAAACTCCATGGAAGTTTCAAACTGGGGAATTAGAGAAAACGTTTTGAAATCTGTTTTGGTCAGTGAGCTCCGGTTTCTGAAGAGAAGAGTGGAATTAACTTTGAAACCCGATGTTGCTGTTGTTGTCTTCCGGTTAAGCTTTACCGGATGAATGTCCCAGTCCCCACTTAACTCCACAGCCTTACGACGGGATGGTGGGAGGAGATCCTAAAGCAGTCCTGGGACTTTCATTTGAAAACTTCATTACTGTAATTTGAGAACCAGCAATACACAACACTTGGATCATTTTCTAACGGCTACTGAGTTTAGGCAAAGATCCAAG